AATGTAGTACGTTCACATCTTCATTGTGCATTTGTTTTTGAAATTGTTCAGTATATATATAATCTTTTCAAAGTAAGCCCTTTGGTAAGTAACCTAGCGATTATCTTTCGCTTTCTTCTCTATGTGCTCTTCCATTTATATACATATATGTTCCTAAAAATACAGGGTGTCCCAGAACTACTACTACGCACGAAAATGAGGAGGAGCTGAGGTGATTTTAAATAACTTTTTCCTTTGCGAAAAAGTTGTCCGAGGCGTGGTTATTGAGTTATTAACAAAAATCCCCACCCAATCAGAGCGCAAGTATACAAGGCGGGCAGGAGCGCGGCAACCGCCTCGTGCATTGCCGCGCCCGTATGTCACGCTCGTGACGAGAGCATAGGATTAAAGAAATGTTGCATGCAAAAACGAACTAACAAATTGGTTAAATATCAGAAGAAAGAAAGGGATTTGTCGTTACTTACATTCACTGAACAAATGTAACATGCTCAATGAAATAACAAACAACTTTACAAATTACAGGATAGGTAAAATTATGAAAAATGTGAAAAGAATCAGAGTTGAACTTACTTCTTCCTTGGTCAGTGCACCTGCTCGTAGAAGAACGTCAATGGGTCAATGGGTCGACCTTCGGTAATCGAAGATAGGACACATGGCTCGCAGCAGCTGATGTTTGGAGTAAGTCAATGACCTGCACCCGACGATTTTTTCCTTATCATCACGATCATTGTCACTTTCCCACTGGCAAATTTTCACTAAACAAAAATTGTCACTTTTACATTTTCCAAATTCACTGCCACTTTTCATTTTACAAATCCACTGTCACATTGTACTTTGCAATTGAAAATTTGAATACACGTTTTTATTTCAATTGTTAGTTCTGATCGGAATACCGTTCGCGCAACAATTCCACTGCCGCTATTGGATTATAAGTCACTTACGCGTAAATAACGAACATATTAAAACATTCCGTGTTCGTTAAGGCACGCACCGTTCTGTTTAGTGACGCAAGGCGAAGCCAACTGATCGCACGCTCAAAGATTTTCTTCCAGAAAATCTTTCCCCACTCGAGAGACAAGGAATAAAATCGTAAAAAGGAAAGCTCTGATTCTCTTCGATTACTGTTCGAAAGACGTTGACAGTAAAAAACACTGCCTTCCAAAAATTCACCGCAGAGAACGAATACCTCTACGTTTCGTATAATTACTGCCGGACGTGATGCATACTCCCGATTCGTATTCGCGTAATGACTAATGCAATTTCTCTCATTGCAAAAAACTTCATAACTCAATTGCAATGGAAGTTATAAATACAAATATCTTACATTGCTCATTACAGTCGTACTTGACAACTGATTGAAATGTGCCACGGTTATTGTGAAATTAAGGTATACATGAATTACGACCCACTGGTGTGTATTACATCAGGCAGCACGAAACCTAGAAAGACATGTTTTGCTGGGCTGAAATTTTAGGAAACAGTGTTTATTGTCGCCAACGTCTTTTTAATAGTAATCAAAGAGAGTCAGATTTTACCTTTTTACGATTTTATGCCATGGGCTCGGTCAGCAGGCGCCCAGCAGAGTGTGTACGACAAAAGGCAAATTCAGTCGTTCACATCTGGTAAGTACATTTCTGGAAACTGTCCCTTGTCATCGGTTCGAGTGTTCTGCACGTGAAGAATTTTTAAGGACGACAAGGAAACGAAGGTCGGATTGAGTTGAAAAATACAAACACATTTTCTCTAACGAACTTGTCTTCCGAGTGGGGAAAGATTTTTTGGAAGAAAATCTTTGAGCGTGCGATCAGTTGGCTTTGCCGTGCGTCACTAAACAGAACGGTGCGTGCCTTAACGAACACGGAATGTTTTAATATGTTCGTTATTTACGCGTAAGTGACTTATAATCCAATAGCGGCAGTGGAATTGTTACGCGAACGGTATTCCGATCGGAACTAACAATTGAAATAAAAACGTGTATGCAAATTTTCAATTGCAAAGTACAATGTGACAGTGGATTTGTAAAATGAAAAGTGGCAGTGAATTTGGAAAATGTAAAAGTGACAATTTTTGTTTAGTGAAAATTTGCCAGTGGGAAAGTGACAATGATCGTGATGATAAGGAAAAAATCGTCGGGTGCAGGTCATTGACTTACTCCAAGCATCAGCTGCTGCGAGCCATGTGTCCTATCTTCGATTACCAAAGGTCGACCCATTGACCCATTGACGTTCTTCTACGAGCAGGTGCACTGACCAAGGAAGAAGTAAGTTCAACTCTGATTCTTTTCACATTTTTCATAATTTTACCTATCCTGTAATTTGTAAAGTTGTTTGTTATTTCATTGAGCATGTTACATTTGTTCAGTGAATGTAAGTAACGTCAATCCCTTTCTTTCTTCTGATATTTAACCAATTTGTTAGTTCGTTTTTGCATGCAACATTTCTTTAATCCTATGCTCTCGTCACGAGTGCGACATACGGGCGCGGCAATGCACGAGGCGGTTGCCGCGCTCCTGCCCGCCTTGTATACTCGCGCTCTGATTGGGTGGGGATTTTTGTTAATAACTCAATAACCAGCCTCGGACAACTTTTTCGCAAAGGAAAAAGTTGTTTAAAATCACCTCAGCTCCTCCTCATTTTCGTGCGTAGTAGTAGTTCTGGGACACCCTGTAT